TATTCAAAAATAAAAACATCATCGCTTTCTCAAAATCACATAAAGTCATATTATAACATCGACTGAGATAAAGAATAAAATGAAATATTAAAAACACGATGTATCTCGCTGCATTGCGCGAGTACTCTTCTAGTTAACTAAAATACATAACAAAAAGGTTTTTTTTTAATAAATTGCTTCACTATAATCATCACGTTAATATGTTCAAAATGAACCCAATATTAAATATTTTTTGATTTAATCTTATATTATTAAATATTATAAATATTTACGAATTATTTTTAATTCTTATATTTTATACACTTATAGTTACATATCAAATAAAAAATATAAGGATAAAAAATGTAAGTTTTAAAAGTAACTCGTACGTATTTATGATATTTAATAATATGATTAAAACAAAAAAAAAATTCAATATTAAGATCGTTTTGAACGTATTGAAGAGACGATGATAATTGTGTAATTTATAAAAAAAGAAATGTATGTTTTTTGTTTATTTTAGTTAATATATGATTATATATGTTAATATAATAATTGTGTAAAATAAAAAATAAAAGTAAATGATATAAAATAAAATGAATAATCTATACTACATTATAAAGCATTTGGTCCAATCTCTTAAAGAAAATTTTTAAAGCATTATGTACTGTTTATTGATTCATATTACTTAAAATTCAATATTACAAGTAAATTGTCTGTATGTACAACTTATTAAAGCTCAATGTTTGAATTTGTTAACTAACTACAGATAAACATAATCAAATTCTGGATAAGTATCTCATTTTAAATATAAAATCTAAAATATGTTTAGAATAATCATCTATACTATATTATAAAGCATTTGGTCCAATCTCTTAAAAACAACTTTTAAAGCATTATGTACTGTTTATTGATGTATATTACTTAAAATTCAAGATTACAAGTAAATTGTTCGTATATACAACTTATTAAAGCTCCATGTTTGAATTTGTGAACTGACTACAAATAAACATAATCAAATTATGGATAACTATCTCATTTTAAATATAAAAAAATTAAAATATATGTAGGATAATCACTGAATTCAAAATACCAAAAATTATCTTTATACAAAAATTATATTATTAAACTAAGAATAAATGACTTCATTATTAAATCTAAATTAAATTATCTATATTATATTATAAAACATTTGGTCCAATCTCTTGAAACAACTTTTAAAACATTATGTACTGTTTATTGATGCATATTATTTAAAGTTTAATATTACAAGTAAATTGTCTGTATGTATAACTTATTAAAGCTTCATGTTTGAATTTGTGTAATTACATACAGATAAACATAATCAAATTCTGCATAATTATTTCACTTTAAATATAAAAAATCTAAAATATATTTAGGATAATCATTGAATTCAAAATACTAAATATTATCTTTAAAAAAGAATTACTAGAATGGTACTCGCGCAATGCAGCGAAATACATATTTCTTTTAATATTTCGTTTTATTTTTTGTCTGTTAATATAATATGATTTACGTGGCTTTGAGAAAGATAATGTTTTTACTTTTGAATAAAAATAAATTTGAAAAAATATAACGATATTAATATCAAATTGACTAATTAAAAGCTCTTGTTTTTTTATATAATTTATTTTTTATTATAATTTAATTTATATCAAATAGTGAAATAATTTATTTTTGGCTTAACAATAAATTTTTTATAAAGATAATGATTCTGTTAGAACTCGATAATTATCCAAATTATATTTTAAAATGTGATGTTTATCCTCTATTTGATTATGTTTATCCCCAATTAGTTACACAAATTCAAACATTAAGTTTTAATAAGTGTACTTATGTATAATTTACTTGTAATTTTGAGTTTTAAGTAATATGCATCAATATACAGTACTTCATGTATAAAAAATGGTTTTTAAGAGTTTTTGTCAAATGCTTTATAATATAGTATAGATATTATTAAACTAAGAATAAATGACTTCATTATTAAATCTAAATTAAATTATAAATAAAAAATAGAATTAAATAAATCACACAAAAAATAAGAACTTTTAAATATTTAATTTGATGTAAAAATCGATTTTTTTAAAATTTATATTTTATTCAAAAAATAAATACATTATCGTTTTTTCGGTACCACATAAAATCGTATTATAATATCGACGGAGACAGAATAAAATAAAACATTAAAATCAAAATGTATCTCACTGCATTATGTGAGTATCCTTCTAGTTAATTATAAAGATGTAAAGTGTAAATCTTTTTAATCAATTAGGTCTATTTTTTATATAAACTCCCCATTTTTTTGTTTTAAGTCTCATTTTAAATTATTTTTCTGTTTTCTTTTATCCTGAAAATATATTTTACAAGCAGATCTTTTGTACGTAATTATTTAAAGAAAATAATTTTTAAAGTAACTAAAAAGTGAGATTACATAATTTGGAATCACATGAGGTCAACTTATTTTCGTAAGACTTATGATACCATTTTTTTACACTTAAAACTTCACAGCAAGACGTTTTACAATATTTTTACTGTGAAAGCTCGGTTTTTTTTAATCTTTATAACGTTTTATTGTAAAATTTTAAATATAAAAAAATAGTTTAATAGATAAAATAAAAACAGATTGGTTTCACTTAAACCCAAATTAAAATGAAATTCACGAATTGACTATTCATGTGAATAACCCCGTAATAGAGATGTCCGCTTTTTTTATTTTGGGTGAGTTTCAAATTTCCATTTTGTGAAAAACACATGAAAGTCCGGTACTTTTAGTTTTATTGAAGTGCTGAGTTTAGTCCCTTTAAGTTTTAAAATGTTTCAGAGCATCCTTATACTTTTAAAAAATACTATAGCACCCCTTAAAGTTAAACCTATGCACATTTAAGACTAGATGTGATCAATTTACAGGCTTGATGCAGGTATAGGCATTGATACTTGGTATAAAAAGATCAACCGTTGGGCGGGTTTGTCTGAATTTTCTTTTCTCATTGTCTGGGCCCGCCCAATAATTTTGAGAGTCTATTGTGGGCCCGCCATTTTTTTTAAAATGGTTGTTTAAGTCTATTTTTTCTAACGAGATGTGTGGATCGAGTCTAACAGGTTGTAGCTGACAAACTCTATTTAAGACCCGTAATTTTATTTCCACTGTGACGAGCGACTTAAGTTGCAACCCGTGTACCCATGGCCTTCTTACTAAGTTCGTCCTTGCTAATAGTTACACAGAATAATCACATTATTTTGGGCGAATTAGGTTCTTAGTAAGCACTAAACTTATTAAACAAACCACCTTAGGGGTTGTTTGTTTACTTCTTAATAGTTTCATTAAGAGGCAACATCTGAATCGTTAAGAGATGAATCTTGTTTGACAAAAAAAAAGTCTGCCTCTTAATGGTTCTAAAACCCTTTGAATGATTTTGTATCCTGTATCTCCCTTAACCATTAAGAGCCCTAATTTCTTGTACACAATTACCAAACAATTATATTTCATTTTGCACTATATCATGAGAGCCTCTTAATCATTTTGATCACTTAATTCTTCTGCACCAAACTATTCAGCAATTGCCAAACAACCCTTTAGGGTGCGTTTGGTACGTTGGACAGGGTGGGACAGGACAGGACAGAACACAATTGTCCTATGTTTGGTGTGGTTTTATGTGGGACTAACTAGAACAAACTAGAACAAGGGTGGGACAAGGTTGTCCACCCTTTACCCATGGAACTAAGTAGAACAAGAAACTTTTTACCACTTTACCCTCAAAAACCT